GAGAGAGAGGGGGAGAGAGATCACAAGCAGGAGGAGCAAGAGAGGGAGAAGCAGACTTCCTGTTGAGCAGGGAGCCCAATGCGGGGCTCTATCCCGGGACCCCAGGATTACGACCTGAGCTGAAGGCAGATGCCCAACCGACTGAGCCACCCAGGTGCCCCAGTTTTACTGTTTTTGACAAATACACAGCGTCATGTGTCCAGCACCTCCGTGCCATACAGAACAGTTCCATCGGCCCCTCACTGTCTCCTTGTGTCTCCTTGTACTTCAGGCTTCGCACTCCTCAACCTTCAGCAGCCCTGGATCTGATTTCTGTTCTTTTTGTTCTGTCTGGCCCAGGGGTGGGTGACAACTTTTTGTTTGTTTTGAGGTACAAAGTTTGCTTGTAAGCGGAGGTTGCCATGCTCTGTGATTAGAGCTGACTGACAGCTGGAGGCAGGTCCCACCCTGATGCTTACCCAGCCCTGTGTGGTCTTAGTGTTCTCATCTGTAAATGGGCATAACAGCAGTCCCCACCTTCTGGAGGTAGGGGGCATATGGTCTGAATGAGGTAACAGCTGTTAGCACTGTGCCCGGCCCACTGTAAGTAATGAGGAACTCAGTAATAATACTTCGTGTTTGTTATTCTCCCCATCTCCATGATGAGGTATGAATAAAAGAACGTCAGAGGCCAGATCTCGCTGCCCTCTTGGGCTGCTGGGGGCAGGGCCCCCTCCCTGTGGGGGCTGGAGCAGAGAGGGTCCTCTGGCGCTTGTGGTACTAGAATTATCTGTCTGTCATTCACAGACTGATCTCGGCAGGGAGACTTGAAGGTGTCATTTTGGTTCTTTCACTTCCATGATTTTTTTTTTTTTTTTTAACTGAGAAGATAGTATGACAGCACAGCAGGGACTTCTAAAGATGTAAATCACCATAATCCGGACACCCACAGGGACTCATATTTTGGTAGCTGCTGCCTCCCCATGCCTGAATTTTTACACAGATACAGACTTTTTATTTATGGTATCATAAACACCCCCCCCCTTTCTTGCTACGCAGTGTTCCTAATGACATTTCACGAAATATGACAGTTTCCTCGGGGGCCAGTCGCCCTCTGTCTCTAAACCACTCCCACTGGTTCGGTGTGGCCGGTGCAGTTTCATGCGTGTCATTCTTTGCTCCAGCTGATTTTTATTTTCCTGAGATTTCTTCCCTAGGGCAGGAATCTTCTGTCGAAGAGGCTAGGAACATCTTTGTGGCTTTATTTGTACCATTTTACAGAAATAAACCGTGACATCCTTCTACGTGTATTAATCTGTATTTCATCAAAATGCACCGGTTCGAGGCTATGATCAACATCTGGCCGAGGGTGCCAGACTAGTGCTCCCACAGGTCCTTAATATATTTATCATCCAACAGTGTAACTGACCTTTTCTGAGAACCACGATCTCCCCCTCGCGCCCACTGCCCCTCCCCCACCCCGAAACTTGGAGTTCTCCTCCCGGGGACCCGTGGAGGGAGCAAGTCTCAGCGACTTTTCTCTGAAACCCCTCCTTTATTTACTTTTGGAGTCAGGACTTGTTTGCATATGTAAAACCAGGACCATATTGTTTCCAGATGGGAGGGGTGTTGCCAGATAATTGGATGCAAAAAAAGAAAGAAAGAAAGAAAAAAAAAAAGGTTGAGGCCTTTAAATAATTTTTACAAACCTGGACACAGAACAATATTTTCTTAGAATTAGAGAAGAAAAGGCGAAGCATGGAAATAAAGATTGTGGGATTGGGTTTCTAATTCAAACATTTCAGCTTGTGTTCATAGCAGTGGCATTTCAAACCCACAGAAGTGAAGGGCCTGGAGAGGGAGGATGGGGGGGGCGGGGGTGGGGTTAGGGGACTTGCAGAGGAAACAGCAGATTCACCATCTAATCCAGAGGGACACGCGTGGACGGAGTTAGAGTCAATGACCAAACAAAAACTCCATCCCATTACGCTAGGACCCCACCTACTAGCATTAACAATAAGGTTATACGCACCACCACCACCCCCCGCCCCGCCCTCCCCAGTTTCCTGTTTAGTTTTTTATTTTAAGATAAGAGCAGTTTGGAAGTAATTGTGCATCCTATCAGTATTTGATAAAGCCTCCCTCCCTTTCAGCCGAGCGGGAGGTTAGGGACAACAGCAGGCGAGTTGGGGTTTAGCCTGAAATGCTCCGGTTTCCAACCGGGAAGCGAGTGCGCCTTCCAGTCCGTCTCGCGACGATAAAAACAGACGAGAGCGTCTGGCACAAATTGACCGGCTGAGAAGCGAAGGCTGGATCGGTCTGCCGCGTGCATTTTGAAATCTGTAATAGTATCTGCAAATACGGCGGGGGTGGGGTGGGGGGTGAGCTCTGAGGCCCTGCTCCGGCCGGTGTCGGCATCCGCCCGCAGCTTCCACGCTCCAGTTCAGAGGCGAGGATTGCTAGTGGGCGACCGGGCCCACCCAGCTGGGGGTGGGGCTGGGGGTCGGTGGTTGTAGGGCTGGGAGGGTTGCTGCGTGCAGCTGCTGCTGCTGGAGGAGCCGTTCTCACTCCGCCCCCCCCCCCCTTCCCTGCTTTCGAGAGCCCAGGGCAGCTCAGGGGGCCTCTGGAGCCTGGGGGCCCGCGCTACTCCTAGGGTCGCTGTGGGCCAGATGCACCAGAGCAGGAGTAACCGGTAGGGGTCTAGCTGGGAGCCTGCGTCCAGAAGCTTATCCAGGTTTTGATTTCTGGGGCAAGCTGAGGCCTTGGGGGGCTGAGAAGGTGGGGGTGAAGATGGGCAAGTTAGTGCATCTAAAGGCGTACCCTTCCCCACCCCAAACACCTCCCCCAACCCGACCCCCCCCCATTCGTGATACTTATGCCATTCAGCTGGGGTGGGGGGGCATGACCACAACCCGGTGTTCCCTCAAAACCTGCAGGCCTTCACCCCATCTCTGGTGGGTACCAGCCTCTGTGGCTCATCTGTAAAATGAGGGTGAGGCTGGCAGGACTGGAGGTGGACCTGGAAGTACCTGGCAGGTGGCCTGAGTTCCTGGTGCCCTGCTGTTCCAGCCAGTGGCAGACCCAGCTAGGCTGAATTCCCAGCTCCTGTGAAAATTCCAGGCTTGGTGCTCGGGGGCTCAAAACTGGGGGTGCCCTTCTCACCTCCTCTAAAGCAAAGCTTTAAAAATAACAGCTCGGGGGACATTTGGGTAGCTCAGTCGTTAGGCGTCTGCCTTCTTCTCAGGTCGGGATGGAATCAAGTGCCGCATCGGCTTCCTGCTCAGCAGAGAGCCTGCTTTTCCCTCTGCCTCTGCTGTGTTCCCTCTCTTGCTGTCTCTCTCTGTCAAATTAGTAAATTAAAAAAAAAAATCTTAAAAATAACAGCTTGGTGGGCGCCTGGCTGGCTCAGTCTGTAGATTGTGTGATGCTTGATCTCAGGGTTATGAGTTCGAGCCCCAAGTGGGGCACAGAGACGACTTTTAGAAAAGTTAAAAACAACAGTTTATTTGCTTGCTGTACCGTCTTCAAGGTATCCTAAATTTTTATTTACTTATTTTTATGGAGAAAGATGCCATTTAAAAAAAGATTTATTAGTTTGTTTTGAGAGAGAAAAGGATAGAAAGGGAGTGGGCACAAGTGGGAGGAGCAGAGGGAGAAGGAGACTCTCAGGCAGACTATGCTGAGCACAGAGCCTGATGTGGGGCTGGATCTCACGACCCTGAGATCGTGCCCTGGGCCAGAAACACATGTCAAACGCTTAACTCACTGAGCCACCCAGGCACCCCGAGAAAGATTATATTTTTATGTTTGAACCTTCTGGTGGTAGTATCACATTTTGTCATTCAAGTTATCCCATTTGGGGTTTCCTTTGTTTTGGAGGGAGATTTTTTATTTGTTTGCTTCCTAGGGAAAAGTTGATACTTTATTTTTATTTTTTATTCTTTATTTTTTTGGTTAGGACTCAAGTCTTTGCTTGCTTAGGGATTATGGGCCCGTCATTTCATTCTTCTGAACCTGGCTTTGGGTTTGGGGACTAATTTATTTTCCAAGCAAGTCCCCTGTGTGTGAGGTAGGGACGGTAACCCGGGCCTCTGAGAGTTTCCTCCCACAGGCCCATCAGGCGATGATTATGCCTCAGCTGGACTGCAAGTTAGCATAATAGTGGAGCTGGGATGTTTGATCCTATTTCTGGGGTAATTCTTTTCCCTTCCCCCAAATCTACCGCAGGGCTGGGCATGCATAGAGATTCTTGTTCAATGGACTGAGCCAAATTTTCTAGGCCAAGGATCCCTGCTGGTAAGAAGGAAGGAAGATGTCATCAGGGTGAATTAAGACTGGGCCTGGGGTCTGATGCCCCATGGGCTGCAAGGGATGCAACAAGGGGTCCTGGGTGACCCTGGGTTTGGGTCCCATCTAAGGACCAAGGGTTGGGTGCCAAGGCCCAGCCTCCCTCTGCTCAGCTCTCCCCTCTTCACAGAGACTACATGGTCACTCTGACTTTTCTGGATTCACGTTTGAAAATGCTATAACAGGGACACCTGGGTGGCTCAGTGGTTAAGCATCTGCCTTTAGCTGAGGTCATGATCCCAGGGTCCGAGGATTGAGCCCCGCATTGGGCTCCCCGCTCAGTGGGGAGCCTGCTTCTCCCTCTGCCTCTGCCCTTCCTCCTGCTTATGCTCTCTCTTTCTTAAATAAATAATAAAATAAAATCATTAAGAAAAAAAGAAAAAAATTAAAAATTAAAAAACAAATGAAACCACTGTAACAAAGCAGAAACTGCCACCTTTTCAGGGACTCCCAAGTGATCGTTACACGTTTCTTTTTGTTTCTCCTCTTGGACTAAAACTAGCTATAGCACTTAACCACCTTGTAAAGAAAATATACCCAACAGTACCACCCCCACTGTTGATCTTTCCAATACGGTGGGGTTTGCTGATTTTTCCACTTTTGCCCCTGTCCACTCTCAAACTCATGCTTGTTTTTTTTTTTTTTTTTTGCCCCCCCTCTCCTTTCCGATTCAGAAGTTGGAGGGACTGGCCAAGCACCGGACAGTTCGGGAAGCACCGACCGCGTGTGTCTGCCCACCAGGTAAGTGGGTGTTTGATCTTTGCGGGCCCCTGACTTTCGAGGTCCGGCCTCCTGTCTCCTGTCTGCTCAGAACTGCCAAGCACGTGGTCCAGACGCTGGCCCTGGGTTGTGGCTTGTGGACCATCTGGGGGATCTTTCTGCCTTTGTCTTCCTCTGACCAGCTCACCAGTCAAGGATTCTAGCCAGGTTACCTGACCTGGTTTGATGAGGATGGTGGTCTATTAGAAACTGTTAGAATTGACTTGTGCTGTCACTCCATCCACCAGCCATGGGGTCTGGCTTTTCCCCATCCACTTCAGCTGGCTGAGACCTGAGGTTTCTTGAAAATGAACTTCTCCATATTGGGAGATGCCCTGGGATTTCTGCATAGGTGGACCTCGCAATGTGAGAATCCACTTGGAGAGGATTTTATGGGCTGGCTTGACTTAGTCTTTAAGAGGACCTCCTACATTTTAACAGGAGGAACAAGGACTTGACAAGCAATGCCATCATTAGCAGACCAGGAAGTCAGACGTTTGATTCAGTGGGGAGAAAAACAAATTAGACCCACAGATGAGTTTTTGGATAGAACAGGGATGGTTCCTGTTGTATTTCTTTTGTGTTTTTCCCCCCCTCCTCTTTCTGAGTGCTGTGTGGATGTCGATTCATGTGAGTTATGTGGAGAAGTATTTTTTAAACTGGGAGTCACAAAGCGTTTGTAGGATATGAAATCAGTTCCGTGGGCTGCAGCCAGCGTTTTGAAATTTTGAACTGGCTGTAGACTGGAATCAAAATGTATTGGAGTGAAGTTTTTCCTTGAGCTATTTTATTTGGAGTGTATGACCTGGATGGTGATGGAAATGGGTTTCCTGCTATGCGATGCTGACCAGAAGTTTGAAAGTCCCAGATACAGATGATTGGGGGGTTGGGGACGCAGGGAAGGGGCACAGAGTTCCTGGGTTAATCTAAGTTGGGCCCAAATCTTGGTCTGCCGTTTATTAACTCTCAGGATCTTTATCGAAAATGGATAACAATATGGGAGTGGGCTCTGTAGGCTTTTTTGAGATTCGTATTTGAGTCAAAGCCCATGACCTGGAGACAGTCCTGTGACCTGCTTTCCCTTGGTGGCGGGGGGGGGGGGGGGGTCCTGAACCACCAAGAGAGGCTCCAAGAGGGTCCCAGCTTTTTTCCTAGCACTGAAAGCCTAAACGGACTTCCTTTCCCCCCAGCTCTGATCTGCCCTGCAGACTTTTCTAGTCTGGACCCGCCCTCTGCAGCTTGGGGCTCCATCTGATTTGAGATGCTTCCAGTTGCCCACTGCCCCCCCCCATGCCCAGCCAGTTCCTTCTCATGGCCTGGAGACTGTGTGATCTTTTGTCAAATCCTAGGAGGTCTGATAAAACAGATAAGCGTGGCCAGAGAAGGGAGACACCCTCTGTGTGCTGCCCATTGTGCAGCGGGCCCTCAGCGGGCCCTCAGCGGGAGCTGTGGAACCAAGAAGGGGGGCAGGCCTTTTGCCCATTCCCCCCACCCCCTGCCCAGCCAGGGGTTGGAGGCCTGGCAGGGCTGTGCCCTGAAATGGCCCCATGACCTCAGACAAGGGAGGGACCTGTGCCTTGCTCCTCTTGTCATCTATAAAATGGTGTAGAGGGTTGAATGAGGTCATCCAGGATTGAGGGTGGGCCCTAAGTCCAATGACAAGTGTCCTTAGGAGACAGAAGGGAGAGGTTTGAGACACAGAGACACACAGAGGAGAAGGCCTTGGGAGCACTGGGAATGACGCACCTAAAGGCCAGGAACGCCAAGCCTTGCCCATAGCCACCGGAAGCCTGCCAGGGGGTGTAGAGGGGGTTCAAAGGGAACCTGGTGGCACCTTGACTTTGGACTTCTGGCCCCCAGAACTATGAGCGAATCAGTGCCCCGTCATTTTAAGCCATCTCATTTGAGGCAGTGGGTTGTGGCAGCTCAGGAAACTAGAGCGGGCTGGAATGCGAATCACCCCGAGGACCTGGAGCTTGTGGAGGGGGAGGATCGAAATCGGGAGCCTCCCTCCCGCATGCCACCAGTTCTCATTCACCTGCCCAAGGAGACCCTTCTGCACTGCTTCTGCAGACAGCTCCAGGCTTTAGACGCACGTCCCTTGGGTACCCCCAACACCCTTTTCCCGTGTGACCTATGTATTTTACACATTGAAAAATGAGCTGGAAGTTAAAAAAGTTTCCGTAGTTTCAAAGTGGTCATTTTTGTGTAGGAAGGGACATATGACGTGATTGGAAAAAGTGCAGGGACTGTTAAAGATTATCCGCAGAGAAGGATACTCCTTCCCCATGCTCCCCAGTCCTCCTGCTCGCCTTTCTAGGGGCTCGGCCAGTGTGCCCCTGTGCTAGAGCAGAACTTTTGCCATATCCTGCAAATACAGCGGCCACTATGGGCCCCCTGTGGCTGCTGAGCCCTTGACATATGGCCAGGGCCAGTGAGGAACTGAATTTTAGAATTAGTCCTTAATTTTCATTTCAGCCGCCACACATGGCTAGTGGCTTTGGTATCAGGCGGCTGGGTTTTGGAGGTAGTGCCTGTATATTTCAGACCGGGCCTGGAGGTGTCAGGCTGGATGGACAGGAGCCCGCAGGCTGTTGGCGGAGGCCCCGTGCCCTCAGAGCAGCAATTCTAGAACTGCAGGAAGGGCTGGGAGTCCCCTAAGGCTGTCCTGTGGCAGAGGAAGGCACAATCTGGCCCCCTTTTGTGCTAAGACCTGTCATGACCCCCAGGGCATCCTAAGGGAGGGGTCGGGGCTGGCTCCCAGCACCTTGGAGCCAAAGAGCCCTGGGTTTGATGTGACTCTGTGGTGTGGTCCCATCTGGCACGTCCTGGGGTGTTACTGGTACTTGCAGGAATTAACTCTGCTAATGCCGATCGCTGAGTTAATTGCTGTGCCTGGAGTATGGGATGCATTGATCAGCAACGTCTGGGTCATGTGCCTGTTCTTGGATCTGGGGTAGCCCCTTGTTGTGGGGATTGACCCCCCTCCAGAACCATGTGGGCTGAGAATGGGCAGGGTAGTGACCACAAGGGGTATTCCCAGGGTGCTTCTTCCCAGAAGAAGACAAAATAGATTTAGCTGGGCAGTCATAAATGAGAGCTTACCGCTCTGGGGGGCAGCTGGTCAGCCCAGTCCAGGGGGGCCCTCAGCTGGGGACAGTAGACAGAGTCTGGGTTTGACCAGAGGCTTGTCTCCACTCCGGGCACAGAAGGGCAGTCTTTTCCCTCTGTTGAACTTGTCCAACAGTCTGCCCGGCCCAGTGACAAAGCGCTTGGACTCTGGGTGCTGACTGCCTAGTTCAAATTTTGTCACTCACCAGCTCCATGACCTTGGACACTCACCCCCTTCTCCTCCTGCTGCCTCAGTTTCTCATCTGTGAAATGGGGTTTCCAGTAGAAGCAACATCAAAGGATTGTCCCAAAGATTGGATCAGTTTAATGCATGTAAGTTGTTTAGGACAGGACCTCTCCTGCTTCCAGAGAGTAAGCTGTGGTTACCATAAACTCAGATCCACCGAGCCCAGGCTAATCCAGACCCACCTGTGCAGCCTGTTACCTTCTCGATTCTCGCTGATGTCCGGCAGGGCTGCCAGAGAGGTGGGGAGAGGAGATTCCAAGTTAGTGGTTGTCTGGGAATATTCTGGAGGGAAAGAACAAAGGCTTGGCACACCGCATTGGTATGTTCTGCTGGGACGTGGGTGTGAAAAAGCTGGTGACAGAGCCCAGGAGGGAGAGAACCGGAAGGGAACAGGAAACATGTAACCTGTGAGCTCCTGTTAACCACCAAGGGCTTCCAGAAGGAAGCACGCAAAACCTGGGGCTCTTATCCCTTCACTGGTCCACACCGGTTTCCACCCTGGTTTCCCTTTGCCCTGGAAGTTTGTTAGGAACTTTTCAGAAAAGTGGCAATATTTCTCTCTCTCTCTTTTTTTTCCTGTGCCCGTGTATAACATACCAGAGATGCTGCCTGTCGTTTACCAGTTGTGTACACCAGTGAACCGATTAATCAGAGTTAGAAACACGCGGCTCTGTGAGGGTGTTTGGAAGTTTGAGCAGAGGAGTGAAACCCTACAGAGGAGAGCCTGGTGTCCAACCTGATAGATCTCCTTGATAGTTTATGGCAAATGTTACAGAGTGGAATGGAAGTACAAGTTACATGTGTTCAGCCTGTTTATTTGTTGGCGTAGCAGAGAGCTTCATGAAGGAATGATTAGTCCCCTTTCTGAGTTATTTATTCAGAGAATTTTAAAAATAACACTTTTTTTTAACCCGCTAAAGCCTCAGTGGCAGGAATTTATGGTACAAAACAGTAGCTTGATGGCAGTTCTCCCGCTGTGTCAGACTGCACAGAGTTGAAGGAGTTAATTTGTGGTTCCTATCTTGTTTGCTTGTTTCTTGGCTGGAATACTCAGGAGGAAGGTCTCCAGAGCCCGCTCCATTATGCCTAAATATTTGTGCCTTCTTTCGTTCATCTTTCCCTACCCTCATTTTGTGCTTTCCCTGGGCGATATTGACAAAGATTGGGAGAGACATGGCGGATGGAGCCTGTCATTGGAGGTCATGGGGCTGAATCAAGAACCTTACTGTACTAAGAATGGGAAGAGTCTGGAGAGAAAAAAAGTCTTACAGAAGAGAAAAAAAAATGGAGATCGTCCCAGATCAGGAGGACCTGGGCAGGGGGAAGATGATAGCTGGGCAGGGTTTGGAAGAGCGTTTGGCATCTCAGCCAGCTGGGACAGGGAACGCATGCCACGATCCCACCACTTGGAGCAGAGGCAGCAGGGCGCTCTCTGGTTGGAAGGCAGCAGTGGGAGGTCAGGGCGGGTCCTGGTTAGAGAGGGACGTGGGTCTTATTCCAAGGGAAGACACGGCTGAGGGAATGGCAGTAGAGTTCAGCATTAAGAAGATCCCAGAAACAGCTCAGAGTGAGGACCGGGGACAGATTTGGTTCCTTCAGAGAAGCCCCTGGAGAGGGTGCTCTGGGTGGGGATGGTCTTTGTTTTGTTTCCTGCCATGTCCCCTGCGCCTAGAATGGTGTCAGGCACGCAGTGGAAGGATGATCTACATCTGCTGGGTGACTTCTGTGGAGGAGAGGGCGTGAGAGCTTGACTGGGGGCCATGAGAGTTGATGGCAGGGAGCAGCTGCAGGAGGCACGGGCCCACGTGGGGGACGGAACTCACAAACAGGATGGATGAGCACAGGAGGGGACAGAGGTGCCTGAGGCTAAGAGCCTAAGGGAGGTCAGTGCCCGAACAGAGACAGGAAATCCCTGAAGAGGGATTTGGAAGGGAAGATGGTAAGCGTGGTGGTTTTGGTTAGTGAGTGGCTTCATGAACAAATTAGCAGATCCACTGATGGATGGGAGAAGATAATTAGAGATCTTTCCTTAGGGCATCGGTCCAGCTACTCTGAATCTGCTAATTACAAAATATACCCTGTCATGTAAGTAAAGGTCGAGGGGTTTAACTATGTGCTGACCGCTGGAATTTGGAGATTTTCCTGTGACCACCAGAGGGAGCCCACTATATTCATTAAATTCTATAGAAATGTAACAGGAATTTAAAAGCAAAGGATAATTAATTTAAAAAAAATTATTAGAAAGCACCTAGCAGTGAGACACAAAGTCAGGCACCCACTCTGGTGTTTTTTTCTACCAAAATGGAAGATGCCTCAGAATTTTCTAGAAGATTCCAGAATCAAGTGGTTTCCTAGAAGCTGGGATAAATTATGGGAAGGGTAAAGTAGCCCTCAGCAAATGCATTCCTAGAACAGTTGCCCCACCCACCCAATGTGTCTGGAGCGCCATCTGGTTTGGTCATAGCTGAGAATCCTGAAGCTATGGGAAGAGAGGGACTCAAAAGTGTCTTGACCTCAGCTTGGCCAACTCTGTGCCAACTCTTGGGTGACAGGTGCAACTTTTCACTGTGTGGCGTGTCACATAACTTTGGAGGTAAGGGTTATTAAATTACTAAATGTCCTACAGATCAGGAATTGCTCACAGGGTGGCACTGCCTTTCCTCAGGGTAAGTTCAAGGGGGTCATCCTATCTGGCTTCTCACCGTCCTTCAGATGCCAAAGTGTATTCCACATGGATGGAAGACGTCAGCGTTAAAAATGAAGCCACAGAGGGCAAGACAAAAATACAGCAGGTCACTGAAAAAAACTGTGAAGAAGAAGTAGACTTTCTAAGTGTTGAAGTCCGAAACCAAAAGGCAGTGGTTCTCAACCAGGGAAGATTTTGCCCCCAGGGAAGA